ACGAGGATGGGGGAGACAATCAATCACGGGCTGAGAGAGCTCGTGTTTCTCCATCTCCTCGCCCTAGATCACAAGGCCAATTGCCCGTGAGTTTGCTCCTCTTGAGACGGCAAGCAAACAATTACGGCGCGTAGCGGACGGGATATACTAGTAGATCGCATTGTAGGATTAGATTGACAATGCACTGAGTTACGAACTAAGTGAACTATTGAATGAGTGTAGTAAGGTCGGAGCGTCAAGACGTATGTAAGAAGATTATTCGCGGTGCTGCCCTGCGAAACTCCGTTGCTCAAATCCGGAGTAGAGCTGATCATTGCAGGTCCCTTGTCGCGTGATTCCGGCGCCCCCTCCCCCCGAGGCTCAAGGTTACCTGAAAACTCGGTCTTTGCTCAAATAAGCCAGCAACTTGTCGAGGGTAGTAGGGTCGTTCTTGTTGTAATCCCTTTCAGGGTCGTAGTCACGCTGGTTGTGGTCCTGGAAAGGGACCTCGTCGTTTGCGTTGCCCAGCATGCCAACTTTCTTGCCCTTAGCGTCTCTCGCCTCGCGCGGGGGTCGTGCGTTGTACCCTGTTACAAACATGATTTCTTTTCCGCCATTGGTCTTCCTCACCTCAAATCCATTTGCCGTCATTATTTTAGATAGGTTCTCAGCCATTTCGCTGGTGAAGGTGATCGGCTTCGACGTCGTAAAGGCACCCCAGCCTTTATTCGGATGATTCCAGGTGTCGAACTCCGAAACCCACTGGTCATGTTTCATCAGCTTCTGAACAATGAACTCATCCCACTCTGAACTTATATCTGGCTGTCCGGAGGAGGTATTGAAGCCGACAGTCACGTTGTATACGGACGCCATAATGCAGTTTCGCGTTAGATTGTGACCGTGCAGCCGATGTTTGCCTTCTATTGCACTGCAGGTGCTAATCCTAGTGGTGACCATTGATTATTCCAGGTCCGTTTTAAAGTCATATCAACTGACACGAGAAAAGATTGTCTAGTCAAGTCTTGAGGGACCCGGGCGGAATTTCGTCATACGGGAAGTCACGTAGGTGTATCGTCACGTAGGGATGTGGGTTATGGCTCATTCTCTATAGTGGATTTCTGCTATTTTCAGAATAAGTACAATAGTGACCTAAAATTATTCTTCGTCTTCTCTTATTGTTCTTTCATACTCTCACTCTTCTTTTCACTTTTCGCATTCGACGGTATAACTAGATTTCATTATTTGAGTTAACTAGTTCTTAGTTTTTACTCTCTAGGTTTTACACTTTAGTCTAAAGTAGTCATTGGAAAGCCTCTCTGAATCTCCTGTTTACTATTGTGATACGCTGGATCGGTATTCAAATCTGTGCGGCCACATTACCGTGAGGGGCACTTTAGCTCCAATAGCGCCGCCAATAGTTGTGAGAGTCATTAAGCAACAGCAACAGATCAGGAGCTTTTGCTTCGCGCGGGGCTATAGAGTGCTAGTTGTGCCTGAGACCTTCTATTCCTCCTTCTATGTTATCCGTGTATGCTATCAACGACCTCCCTGCCATCTACGCTAGCGACTGTGCCAAGGCGTAGATTGGGCGGTCTTGATGGTGGAGCAGACAGTGCCGGCACGGGACATCCATTCTCAGTTTCGGACTCGCGAGACGGGGCTCTGTGCGTTCTCGCACGTGCAATTTGTTCACCCGTAATGTATTCATTTTGCATCTACTGCAGCTCTCGCGGAAGCAATGGGATCGAGCTGGGGTGAAATCCGAGCCAAGTCGTCCTGGATTAGCTACCTAGTAAGCTTCCTAGTAAGCTTCCTTCGGGATCCCCCTCCAACATAGTGGATAAATATGGTTCCACCTCCTGTAGCTCTACCATCTAACAGTTAGGTCGTAACCGCAGGAGCATCTCAGATTTCGTTGTTGACCACAATTAGAGACGCTTATATGAAGAGATGGAGAGGTACACATCCTTCCGAAACATTGACGGACAAGTGTTACCCACTGCATTAAGAGCTAGCATGTGTGCTCGATATCACCTCATTCTGCTCTCTATAATAGGCCATCCTTCATCCAGAAGTAAGGCGTCCTAAGGCACCCTGACTTTCGAACAAAGGACATGAGCGGCAAATTCGATGTGTACACTACCAATGTCGGGGATTGGGCTTCATCGCTAACAGCGAGGAAGCATAATATCTAAGTTTCACCTCCCTAGTACTCACCATGATCTTCATGCAAAATGCTTATCCCCGCTTTGACACCGACCCTCATTCATATCAGTATCCCTAGCGCACCATTCGCCGCCGTAAAGACGAAACTGTCTCCCGTGTTCACTACACAGTCTAGAGACCCGGGGGCGGAGGAGGGTCGGACCCGACATTCACGACCCAAATCTGATCCAGGCAAAGTATTTTGGAAGACTCCTAGATTTCGACCGGCTACCTATCTACGAATGAACCCTGTCTCACATTGGGGGTCGTTCACAGGCCCGCCGTTAGCGCCTTCCTTTGACGCGCGCGAAATGCATGTGAAGGTGATACGGCTCTACATAGCAGTAGCATTTTGAATAGCTCATCTCACAAGTATTCCGTTTCCTTCCTCTTCCTTATCGGATTTACAAATGGTGTCCTACCTCGTGAGCTATGAGCCGGGAGACGAGAACAAAGACCCCGACGGCGACAACGGTGACGAAAGATGCCCGAGGGGCCTCCCCGGCCGAAGATATTACTACATCCACGGCACTGGGAATAAATGGAGGCGCACGGGACTTGACCGTCTGTAATGTGGCCGTTGGCCATGTCCAGTTTGGGGTTGACGAGTTGGAGATGAGTAAGCAGCCTATGGAGTCCCCGGTGGAGTTCCACACTGGCCAGACTGAAGAGCTATTGGTTACCGCGCTAGGCCACCCGATGGCCGTGCAGGGTATTTCAACAGTCGTGTCTGATGCGGGAGACGACGAGAGACTTTCCGAAGACGTTGCCGATGGTACGGGCTCAAAAATGAAGAACTCTGTCTCGTTGGGATCGGACACAGTGGCTGTCGACGTGATCTCTGGCGGCGAAGTCGCTTCTGAGGAAGCTCCTACTGGACTCTCTACCGTCGAGGCCGTCATCGCCAAATCACCCTCCCTGTCGCCAGACGACGTAAATGAGGAGGTCGACTCAGCTTGGCTCACACCGGGAGAAGAGATCGTGTGGGGCTCGTTTTCGACGGTGAGCGTGCCAACCATCTCCCAAACCGTCGTCGAGGATACCAGTGTCGTCGTCGATACCACGGTTGCTGTGATAAAGCTGGTCTCGAGCCGGGTGCCTGTGCCTAAGTCGCCAGTGGTACCTGCGACGCCGGTGGTCGTGGTGACGGTGGTGGTTATGGTCATCGTGGACATGGGCGTTGTGGCGATAGATGTTACCGCTGTTCCCCCGCACGGGCCGGTCGGGACCAATTGATAGTCCGCCATGTCAACCGTACCCACTGCCGTCCAATCTTTCATCTGTAACTCAACGGTAACTATAGACTGTCCTCCTGTTGAGACGGGAGGCTGCTCGCCGCTCGAGGCTGCCGTCGTCACATCGTCGCCACTGACGAGACTGCAAATCAATACTAAGTTCAGGAGAAGAAATTGGCATCTCATGTTTGATCTGCAGGACTAGACTGTGCACAGTGAGCAACACATCCTCAGAGTGATTAGGCAAGATATCCCTCAGTATCAAATAATATAGCCCGTCTCCTCTACTGTATCTGAGAGGTGACCCTCCTCACGGTGGAGTTAGTCGCGACCGCATTTCCCTATTCCCCCTCCCTTAGATTATATATCTCCAGGTTCTGTTCCCTGTCTTCCAAATTGAGTTATTTTTCTCACTTTATATTTTCCTATCTCTGTACTGTAACTACTCTTTTTTTTT